TATGGATTGTGATGAGTTGTATGAGCCCCTAATAAAATGATTTTAAAAAAAGAAAGAAAAAAAAAAAAAGAATGCGTCTTCCACTGGGGCAGGAGCGAGGGAGGACCAGGAGGCCCTGCTGGTGCTCCCGGGAGGGAAGATCCGAGATTTGAACCCAGAGATTTGAACTCAATGGAAGAACATGGCGGTCTGTTTCTGAAAATATTAGAGAACTCTGCGGTGCATTAGTTTTACTCTGTCCTAAAGGAGCATTCTGCACTGGAACGGACTTTAAGGGCATATGTTTGGAGTTCGGGGGGAGCAGCCAAAACTGAGACAATAAATTTCTATTCTTAGAAGCCATAAAATGTGTTACTTTGTTATGACAGCACTAAACATCGAATTAACTGTCTAGATGGTGGGCAGTCACACTTCATACAGACCAGCTGGGCTTAGTGGAAAACACGCTGCTGTAACCGCTTCTGACCTGGCAAGATTTGGGCTAGCTAGGCAATTCAGCTTAGACAGCAGGTGAGTCTGATGATGTTATCAAAGACACCACTTAAAAGTCAATTGCTTTCAGAAAGGCTTATTTAATATTGGAGTCCACAATAAAATTGGTCATTATTATATGTCGTTATACAAGGCCAACTTTTATGTGAAAGATCTATATTGTTGATTAAATGAAATTCTTTTTAGTGGCACTGGGTCACACATAACGTATGTACAGTCAATTATATTAGGAGTAGTTGAAGATTTCTCTTTTCACAGTAATAGTTTTTTTGGCAATCAATAGGGATTTGAAGAACTATTTTTCTTGATAATGACCTAGAGCTTTTTTACAGTAGCCCCACCCCACCCCAAGATGGATAGACCGGGGTCACAGGAAAGGCTGGCCGGATATATGCTGTATTATAATTTTTCTAGAAAGATCAATGATTTTGCATTCCAAAATGATAGCATAAAACAATACTTTTTAGTAAACTTGGAGTGTCTCAAAACAAATGTGGGTTTGATTTGACAGGTGTCAAATAAAGAAGTAGTAATCCTTTTTGCAGGAAATTTCATCTCTTTTTATCTTCTAGATCAATAAGATAAATTTAAGCTATATAGTGGTCAATAATCTAGCCAGGTAAAGGACTCACTATTAGCTGTTGGAGGGCTTTGTGCCAGCATTTGTTTCAGGACCAATTCTAGCACACTAATTTTCTGTAGCACAAACATTTAACTTTTATTGCTTTGCCAGCAAATTTTTTATATCTAGTTTCCCTTTGTTTTATGGGGAAAAATATGTATCCTAAAAAAATACTTACATTTTGGGGGAGGACCTTTGCTTGCAGTTTTCTGCTCAGATTAAAACAAATCATTCCTGGGGTCTATCGTCCTTCTCTCGAGTTCATACACCCAACTTGCACCAACTGATAATTTCTCTGGAAAGGTTTGAAGAGTTGCTCTGAATGGGCTACTTAGCTATCCCCTGTAGTGTGCAATATTAAAATATATATTATGGTTAAATATCTCCATCAGTCCTGTCTGAAATCATCAACTGCTCCATCCACACCCTGCTTCCCACTCTTCATTTAAGAGAGTTGCGGTTATGCCTGGTAGCTGTGGACCATAGCAATAGAAGACAAAGAATAAAGGTTAAAGAACTGTGAGTGCACTTACTGCCTAAACTAGAATGATAACACTGATTGGTGAGGTTGAATATTAATTCCAATCCAAGAGTTGCTCAGTCCGTTGAAGAATGGCACTGGATGGGCTCTGTGTCACATCGTCAGTAAAGACCTGGGTAAGAAGAGGCAAATATTCTGCATTTCATGGAATCAAAGCTAGAGGGTACCTTCTCTTTTCCATCAGAGCTATTCTAAAAATAATGTGAGTATATCATTCCTGCACTCATGATATACGATGGGGTATCCCCCAAAAAAACCCAGAATTTTTTTTAGTGATGTATTTAAATTTTTTGTGTGTGCATTTAAATATTTGTTTTTACAAAACAACTTTATCACCTTCAAAGTACTCTCCATTACACTGAATACATTTGTCAAATCTGCTATTTCATTTTTGGAAACATTTTTCAAACTCAGCTATTTGGATAGGTGACAGCACCTCCTTCGTTTGCTTGTTTTTTCTTCACCTCTTCTATGTTGTCAATCTCTGTCCTTTCATGTTCCTCTTCATTCGCAGAAACAAAGAGAAGTTGCAAGGAGCAAGGTCAGGCGAGTCAGGTGCGTGGGAAAAGAGAGGCATGCTGTATTTTGTCAAAACCGTGTGCACTGAGATGGCTGTAGGTGCATTGTCATTGTGGCAAAACCAGTCGCCCCGTCTGCCACAAATCAGGCTTTTTTTTGCCACACACTGGTACACAGTGTTTTCAGAATCTCTAAATAGAAAGCTTGATTAACAGTCTGACCTGGTGGAATGAACTCCAAATGCACCCTTCCCATCACATAAAAAAAACCAAAAGAGCATCAGTTTTTTTTTTTGGGGGGGGGTGTCATAATTCTTTGTACATTAAAATTTTTGGAGTGGAATTAATAGAACATGTATTACTAATCATGGAGAAAGGTAATCAAGGATGTCGAACAATTTCTGGGATTTTCTAAGCATACTGTACCAGTTCAAAGCCCCAATAGAGACTTCCTCAGAAACAGAAATGGGTAGTGTGGTCTCTGTGTGAGTTTGCATATCAACAGTAGAAAACTCTGAGTTATCCTGAAAATACCTAGCCTTTTATCACCACGCCCAACTGATGCTTCAAGACAGTGGTTCTCAACCTTCCTAATGCCATGACTCTTTAACACAGTTCCTCATGTCGTAGTGACCCCCCCAACCATAAAATTGTTTTCGTTGTTACTTCATAACTGTAATTTTGCAACTGTTATGAATCGGACAACCCCTGTGAAAGGGTTGTTCGACCCCCAAGGGGTCTCGACCCACAGGTTGAGAACCACTGCTGTAAGAGGATCTAGACAAAAAAGCTTTCCAGAAACTAGTCCCGTTTGAAATCAACACTGTGTACGGAATGGGAATTTCTGGCAATTGATGCCAAGTTTGACTCAATGACTCCAGGCAAGCAAGTGATGACAAGTGTTCTGGACCCGCAGTCTAGAAAAGCTGGGGCAAACCAGAGGGCATAGGTGAAATGTTCTTTAATTGCTTCAGACAGTTCCAAGTGGACACCCTCTCCCATAACTGACACCAGGGTTGGGGCAGGGATGCATCCGAAAACTCCGCTGTCCTGGAAACCTCTGTTCCTCCAGACCACACTGCAACTGGTCGTTATACGCAAATGCGTAATTCCGTTTGGGCAGCACGTAAATGCTTGATAATGTCAGTGTCCGGAGTCTCTCCGAGACTTCAGAGGATCCCTGGTATCTTCAAAGACTGGCATCATATCCCATCAGAACCATTCACAATAGCTGCTCATTCTAGGCGTGCCCGGACCCCTGCCAAGCCCTGATCTATCCCTCTGCTCTGGGTCTCTCTGGCTCTATTTTCTAGCGCTGCTAGATAAGGACCCTTATCATTTGGCAACTCTCCTTTGGGCATTTGGGGCCTTGAGTTTCTGCTCACTATAGGAAATTGAGGGAAAGAAAACCAAAACAAAAATATTATTTTTCAGAGATAATCATTGTGAACATTATAATGTTATATCCCTGTAAATGTCTTCCAAATCTATTAGTATACACATACATATCTTCTCTTTGTTTTTGTATACAATAATTCTGTATGTGATTGCATAAACTTGTAAGTCATATAGATACATGCATAAACAGTGAGAATTATCTTTAACCATTCCCTTTTAATTCTATTTTTACATGAACTTTTTGAAGTCCCCTTCGTGTGTGTGTGTGTGTGTTTGTGTGTGTATACTCTCATATATGAAATCACACATGAAGAGTCAATCACAGTACCTGGCTCAATGAGCACAAGCTATTATTATTATGAGGAGCGTAGGTAATGTAGTGGGTTACATATTGAACTGCTAAGCACAAAGTCAGAAGTTCAAACCCACGAGAGAGAGATGAGGTTCTACTCCCGTGAAGAGTTACTGTGTTGGAAACCCAAAGGAGCAGTTATATTCTTCCTTGTATGGTCTCTGTGAGTCAAAATTGACTCAATGGCAGTGAGTTTGCTTTGTCAGACTCCAATTATCTCAAATTTATAATTTTTATATTACTCTAAAACATATAAAAGTACTTGCCATGTTGCTATTATTCTGTATCAAGATTTTTAATGGATAAATAGGATGCATCAAAATGTATCCTCTGTTTGTGGACTGGGATAGCTTCGTTACTATTGTAAACACAGTTACAATGGGCATTCTTCTAGTTCGATTTTTGTTTTCTAGGGGACATTCCAAATAGTGGAATTATTCAATGAAACAGTTGCAGAGTAAAGACCTTTGGTAGAAAGCAGTCAACTCCTTGAGACAAAGTGTTCTAGCTTAAACTCTACCATCAGTAGTGCATCTAGAATCTACTCATATGCCTTTTGAGGCATTTCTGATGGTTTTGTTGAAAGAAATAATGCAGACAACAGTACTGATTTTACTAATGGCTAGATTGCCAAGTGGAAAAGATACATCAAAAGGCCTGAAAAAAATTCATTTTAGATCTTATTGGCTCACATATCATTGTAAGACGTGAGCACAAAAGTCATTGTTCATGGATAGTAGCTGGTAATCTGAGACCATCAGGAGAAATGTATTTTGCTCCACATATCCGGGTGCTCTGCTTGCGTATTATGTACACCTTCACGTCAATTACTTAGCATTCACTATTGTGTACGTTATCTTTGATTCACATCCTTAGCTCCTCTACCACCTGCCTCTAAATCACTCCTCTGCTCCTTAACAATGTCAGTGAGCTTGGCCATAAGGAAGACACAGAACTAAAATAAATTTGTTACTGCTCATTGCATATATTAGAAGACTTCATGAAGAAAAAGTTGAGTTTAAAGATTAAAAAGAAATGTTTAAATAATTGTAATAAATTAATTAATTTTTATTACTAATTATTTCACTCTATTCTTAACTGCTGGCACATATCTTCTTTTTCTGGTACAAAAAACAATAATAATAATGAATCTTTGCATAAAGGGCTAGTTGGATGCTTACAAATTACTCTTAACTTTCCAACATACATCCCCAAACCTGGCCAATATAATACTAAGAAAAACAAAGCACACATTAACAGAGTAAGAGTTAAGGGAGATGTATCAGGATTGTAACCAAAGAAAACAACAAAAGGATACCTGGTGATGCTATGTGGTAAGTGTTTGGCTGCAAAGTCCAAGATTGCTGGTTCAAAGCCACCAGCTGCTCCTTAGAGAAAGATGTAGTAGATTGCTACTCAGAAATTCTATCTATATCTAATTCTATCTAACAGTCAGAGTCAGCTGACAGTGTGTAAAGAAAATAAAGTGCCGCCAACTTAACCCCAAAATGCACACTGACAGGAAGAAACCATCACAAAGAACACCTGAGAATGATCATTTAGTGTGCTTGCTGAGTGTGTAAGAAAGTGATTTGAAAAATAATCCCAAATGAGAGAGGAGTGGAATGGATCACATCTTGTATGGCATGGTAGTACACACTTCCTTTGTGGTAGTCAGTACCCAATAACCACGCATGCGACTTTGTTCACTATTTCCAGTTTACCCATTTAGGGAGCCCTTACCCTTGCTCTAGACAGCATGTAATCCAGCCCCAGCCAACCCACAAGAGTCATTTATTCCCAGTGAACCCATGGTTGAAGTCAGGACAATCAGCTAATAATCCTGATGTCTTGTACTTTATAACTCTCTGTAAAGGAGTCAGGCCTGTCCCTGTTTCCTAGACTAGGAATTATGTAATTGAAAGCTAGTAGAGTCTGACTTGGGGTTGGCTACCTTAATTGCCCATCTTACCTATGAGAATGAAATTGAAGACTAAATTAACACACGAAGGATGGAGAATTGGGTCCAACTAAAAAACTGAGGATTAATAAATGTCTTATTCTCTTCCTGAAATCAACCCCTTCAGAACCCAGCCATACCCCTGTACTTCTCCACTATATAAACTAATCTATTTGCTTATTTTTTTACACCAGCCAGGATTGAGTTTTCATTGAACAGACAAGAGCCCTAAGCAATGAGTTTTGTTCCTAGATGGCACTGTGGAAAGGACAATACATTCCTGCTTCTGTTTGACTTCTCAGTAGATACAGGTAAGGGCCTTACCGTTGGCCACGTTGTCCGAGGCCCATCCAAGCTCTAGTGGGAGAGAAAGCTTTTCCAATGGGAAGTAAATGTTACTGGTGTCACTTTCAGAAATTTAAGAAGTGAAGCACCCCAATTATTTCCGTGGGGTTCTCGAGAACATATCTGATACTGAATTATCTAAAATCCTGTAATGAGAAAATAATGACCTCTAAAAGAATGTGGATTCGAGACAATACAAAGGAGAATAGACATGGGCAAAGAGATGGC